TCTGAAAAAAGCAATGCAGGATAACTTACTAAACGGTAACAGAGGTGAAAACACCTGAGCGCTTCTAACAGATGAACTAGAAGATGAGTTCAAGAGATGAGTCTCATGAACAAAGTTATTTACGAGGAAAAAACTTAGTATCGGTTGCGACACACTTGGTATCGCAAGGAAAAATAACAGACAATCAACCAAAAGAAGAAAAAAGCAACCACCAAGACCAAGTGGAATTTTGCATCACTTGCGATACATAGGTTATGGAAACTGCTCAAAGCAAAAGCGAAATTTCAAAATCTATTTAGCAAGAATCATTGTCCAAACTTGCACGACGTAACAATTCATTGTAAGACGCCAATTTTTTTCTTATTAAAGTAAATTCAAACAGAGGCAAAGTGGACTTTTTCACCTGTTCGGATGCGTTTGACTTCAACTATGATTTTCAAAAACAATCAAGTAATGCATTAAATGCAACAACTTCATCAAATAATGCATTAAAACGCTCAAAAGATAATCCAAGATACCATTTAAAAATTGCACATATTGGATGACACCCATTTATCGCACTGACACCCAAGCTAGCAGACAGGAAAAGAAAAGACCGCCACTAACTCCAAAAAAAATGAAAACCCGTCAATAAAACCGCAATTAACATTATTTTAATATGTTGTCTGAAAAGATGTTCAAGTTGCGGAATACAATTTCTGAAAAATAATCGACCAAGTTCAAGAAACATTCAAAAACAATTACCGAGGGGCAATGATCGACAAAATTTGGGTAAATTCTAGTACAAAAACAAAAAATGTTGTCATGTAAAAAATTTGAATTAGACTTTTAGCATTTTATGAGATCCGGAGGGGAGCAAAAAAATTAGATTGTCCTCGAAACAGCCCAAACGGGTACGAAAAAATAACAGCCAAAATCATTTGAACTGAATAAAATTATCAAGAAAGAGAAAGGAAATATACGAAGTCATAGCTAGTAAAACTATGAACTGCCAGAGAAAATCATAACACTGAAAACAATTACAATGAGTACAGCGTATAGAAAAAACTTTTGCAACAATTATTATAATAAAAGTTTTTTTCTGTACACTGTTTTCATTGTAATTGCCAAATCAGACACAAAAACCATGCCGTGAAAAGTTTCCAAAAATAGGACAAACGATAGTCTGAAGATTAATTCTTTCCACAAAATCTAATTTCAACAAGTACAAAGCCCGATGGCAATTGAAGATCGGACCTTTGTCGTTCAAATCAGGCGCATTACCTCTGAAGAAAACGAGCAGAAGAGGCAGTTGAAATTTAGTGTATTAATGAAGAAAGTTTATAAACCCCAAAAACAAAGTTGTTAACCAGAAAAAAAGTCTAGCAGTTTGCTGAAAAAGCTTTGGTAATAGCAAGAATTTAACAAATGCAAAAATTGTTATATGGAAAGAAAACAGTATTCAGAAGTTCAACACAATACTGGGCAACTTTTGTTGTAAAAAAGTTAACTGTATTATTACAGAAGTGCTGCTTGTAACAGAAACAATTCCGTGATTTACAAAGCAAAGTGCTAATGGTAAAAAACTATGTTCAGTAATGTTGTTGATATCAAGAGCATGTATTATGATTTGAACCGCTGTATAAGGCTTCGTGAAGGACAACTTGCAAGATTTTTTTAATTAAATATCCTTTTTGCGATCGCTTATTTGAGAGCTGCTAACGACACTGGTATAGTTTACAATTTAATATTCTAACAAGCACTTACTGCTCATGTCTTTAAGGTAAATAGACTGGGAGTTTTTGTTTTTAAAAAATTCATTACAAGCTCACTTCATATAACACAAAAATTTGCCATTTTTCAGGGGTGAATATGCGCAAAAAATCGAAACTACGAGGGAACATTATCGAGCCCTGCTTGAGAGGAGATACAACTCAACAGTTTGCAGCGAACAAAACATTGGTTATTGAGGAAATGAAAGATAATACCGAATATCGACAGAAATTTTATTATGGTTCGAATTTTCAATGATTTTTTTGCTCCAAGAACATCCAATCTGTGTTAGTAATATGGGATGCTAGCAGTGATATCCATTTTTAAAAAAATAGTTTGAATTATTAAAGTTTTTAATTTAAATTTAAATTTGTTTAAATGTAAATTATGAATTCACTCAATTTAAATGAAAAATTTTTATTGAAAAAGAGCAATTAAAATTGAAAAATATTTAAATTGCCAAAAAAAATTTAATAATTTCGGAAAAATTTAAATTGATGCCAATAATTTTTATAATTTTCTTGAACAATTTCAATTTAATTTTTTTTTAATGGGCATCACTGGATGCTAGGCATATAATTGGAGCGAATAGACAAATGAAACACAAATAACATAGCCAACTGACAGTTGGAAAAGAGTAATGAATATAAATGAACAGCAAAAAAAAACACTGACTTTGTTGAAAAAATCTCAACTGTCAAATTTCAAAGAAAAAAATAGATGCCCTTTAAGCTCTTTGGATTTAAAGAACAATTTATGATTGTCGATTTTTTGATAATATATCAATAGGTAAAGTTTTTCTTCCGCTGGAAATCTAAAAATCAAATTCCACTTTCGAAACTAGAAACCGTTCACGTTTTCTACGTAACTTTCAGCAGATTAATTTCAATTGAATTCAAAAAATGCATATATACTTCAGTGCATTCATCAATGCATTATTATATATGAATGCACATCTGTAGTTATTAGAGTATTTTTTGACTTTTCATGAAAAAAAATCACCACGACCTATATAAGTCTTCGCCACATTCATTACTCTTAATTATCAATTGGGCGAAACAACGAGATCCATCGTTGAACTCAATCAAAGAATTCCAGCCCAGACTCTCACCTCTCGCCAACCAACAATGAGTGATGCAATTTAACGGCAGCAACACAGCTGCAAAGAAAAATTATTAAGTGATCTTTTAATCTTGAGGGTTAAAATTTCAGAGTGGTTGTTTTACTTTGATGATATTAAAAGCCCGAATTTAGAAGACTGGTTTGTAAAGTTCTCTGGACACTATATTTAAAAAAACCATTAAGATAGTGTTGCTTAATAAAATTTCTTGAGAGATCACTGCATTAGTGGCATTCTCTGACTTTTTAAATACTTATTTATAGTCATCGTTATTAAGAATAACGGGTGCTTTGCAGGTAGCAAAGTTCTGAACACATAACTGAAAACTTAGGCTTTGCTTTCAAGTTTGCGTCGTTTTTTGTTCGCAGTATGTCGAGCGGATCAAAACGACAGCTTATAAAATGTGTAATTTAGTATGCATTTGTCAATTTTTTCTTCGACAAATAAAAAACAAGAATTTAACAAATCATTTTGAATTAACCTTTGAATTTAATGAAACTCAGATTCCTCAACCTACTAAATTGAGTGAGCCGTTGTCATATAAAACTTTTCAGCAATTAAAGCAAACGCCGTAACCGACCTGAACGCTCTAATCAATTTTTGCCTTTCAAACGACAGAAATTACGTTGACTAATCCGAAGAAACAAGTCGAAACTATTTAAGTCGCATAAAGCTGTTAGGCGAAAAAGAGGATAATATACTGTTAGACTAGTAAAGTTACAAATTACAGGAGCAAGTCAACAACGCTTGCAATAACAATGAAAATTTCTTAAACCTCAAGAAAAATCCGTGATGTGGCAACTAATCCGACAAAATATAAGCAGACAAACGAAAGATCGTCAATTCAATTTTCCCCTAAAAAGTTTTCAATTTTATACATACTGAAAAAAAACAAGCTCTGTTGGGATTCGAACCCCAGACTTAAGGGTGCAGGGCAGATTTAAGGGGGAGGGGTGGTGTACTTCTCCTCCCTCGGGGATTCGACCCCCTGCTGACCCAAAGGGTCCCCCTTTGTACTATTTTGAGGGAGGCGAAGCAATAAGCAGAATGGTCCAAGTGCAGAATGGGTCAAAGAGCAGAAAAATATTGAATTATATTGGTTTATACGGGCTAATTTATAAAACATTTACTAGAATCGACAAAAAACACCAAAAAAAACGAATAAATTAAGCATGAATTGACTAATTTTTTTAAAGTTTTTTGATTAAATTTTTATAAAAATTCTTGATTAAATTGCTCAATTTATGTATGAACTGTTCGTTGATTTTCTATTATTGACATTTCTGATAATTATTTTACCGATTAGCTTATAGAAGTTGATGTTTTTCTCTTTTTCTGCGCTTGGACCCATTCTGCTTATTGACTGGCCACCTATTTTGAGATATCCATATTTGTTGACGGACCCTAAAATTATTCCAGAGGCGCCTTTGGCGCCAATATATTCTAATTTTGAGGGGCGAGCGCGCCAAAAAAAACACGGTTTTTTGGTCAAAATTTTCCAAAAAAAGCCTGAAAACGTTTTTTTTTGGCGTGTTTTTCAAAAACTTAACCAAAACAGGGTCTTTTTAGTGCTTTGGAAGAGCTCAGAAAATCAATTTTGTCGACCTAAAAAAGATCGACAAAATTTTCGAAAATGTTTAGAAAATCCGCCCATGCCACCTCGAGAAAATCCGAAATTAGATCCGCCACTGTAAGGGTGCAAAGGCAACCGCGTTACCTCCGCATCAAGTGTGAGAGCCCCTGAAAGTTGTTTACGCAATTATGTCTAGTTCCCGATTACACAAAACTGGCTCTCGCAAGTGTTAAAATATTATGTTTTTATAAACTTCAAATTGCTTGAATTAATTTTCAAGACCCCATATCTTACAACTCCAATCTTGTAACATGAAAAAAACTTCAAGCAGAGTTACGTCTATCTTAAGTTGACGCAATTTCTGTTAATTACGCAATAAATAATCACCAAAGGATCCGTGAAGATTTTCGATCAAGCTGGTAAGTTCGCATGTAGAAGCGTAAGAGTTGGCTAGTAAAAGCTCAAAATAAGTTGAATTTTTTGTGTTGTGTAAATCAAACCATTTCAAAACTTTAATTTTGCCAGTCCGTTTATAAAAAGTTTCAGATGACTCACCTGGATTTTTCCGTCTAGCCGACATGATGACTGAGGCTTTTAAAACGGAACACTGATACCAGATTGACGAATCTGCTCTAATTTTTAAATTTGCTAGTAGACTTTATTTCTACGCCAACCAATGCAACTCTCAGCTTGAAAATCTGAATATGCTTTGTTCAACTAACTCATAAAAATGGTATAAGCAACTGCTTTGCGTTGCTTAAACTGTGATAACTTTTCTAGCATATTTAGTCATCAAGATTAATTCAGGTAGACAGACTTGAACTAATTCTAATCTTTACCTGTCCATTAAGAAAACAAATAAATTGTTTTCTGAGTTTCTTAAAAGACAGCTTCTTTTGCAAGTTTCATGAAAAGTCAATCACTGAAACGATAATTTAAAAGCTACTGAGCTGTTTGATTCATTCTTGACCAAAACCTAAGCTTTATCTTTTGATGGCTAAATAAATCGGGTCTTCTCGATGTTCAAATATTAGCTTCTACACGAAAATTATCTGGAGTTGAAGAACATTCAATTCAATGAAAATGACCATTGACAACTAGTATTAACCAATCAACATAGGTCATCGCAGAATTTTTAGTTCTTGTAGCCACGACTGGCTCTTCGGCCTCGAGCACGTTCGAACTTCCTTCCTTTTGACTTAACGTAAGGCTTCGTGTGACTTCCAGGTGTTCCAGGGGCCGGTCCGAAATGCTTCTGAGCCTCACGAGAATTCCTGTGTCCTTGCATCAGAACAGTTTTCTCTCCTTTAGGAGATCGCTGAGCAAGGACATCGAAGGTAATGATTTCTCCGCCAGCCTCCAAAATTCGCTTTCTTGCAGAGGCGGTCACGTGAAGAGCGCAAACTTTGAGTCCCTTGGGGATCTCATATCTCCGTATGTCATCGGTCAATGATCCCACAACTACAGCAGTCAAACCATGCTTGATGGCGCTAACTGGCTTTGCTTCTAAACATTTTCCAGATTTTTTTCTTATTTCAAATTCGTTCAAAATGTAATAACCGATGCTTCATTTCTCCTCATATTTTTAAGGATGGGGTGCTTAGAAAAAACAAAACATTATATGATTCTGCTTCTAGACTTACCTTTCCCTGATAAATCACATTTTGCCAGATAATTGCACGTGCATTAGCCAAAATTTAATATATTGCTGAACAAACAACTATCAAAAGGAGAGGTATCTTCCACATTTACGGCCGTATTGGAAATGATAGGAGAAAATGATAGGTAGGATTTTAGATACGGTACAAAAACCCCCAGTTAATCTTGAGTTCGACAACGTATTGTTTGTCCTGTAATCAAAACTTTCTGACAATTTACCCTTTCCTGAAGGGGTCACGCGGGTCCGCAGCATAACTCTTATCAATCTTTTTAGTGACATGGGCGGTCTGAACCTTCTCGCCATGCACAGCCTCTTTAGCACAATTCGATTGAATTTGCTCTGCGTTCTTCGACTTAGAAATTTGTAGAGCTGAACTAGCAACCTCAAGTAGTTGTCATCACTTTTCGGGTCAACTCGTTTCGCCTTGCGGTCGAATCGGTGGTCAAGGTCGATACCCATTTTAATTCAAGTCTGAAAGCAAACTACTACTACTCATAAGCCACCACAGATAATTTCTGTGAGCAAGTAGTCCTCTCTTTACAGATTATTATGGTGACAATTTCCTGGGAACGGTTTGTCAACGGTTTTACTACTGACGAAACAAAAATTGCGAAGACTTTCTTATGACCCAGAACAAGTATCCCTTATGACAAGAAAGCTACCAAGAATCAATAAATTACATGAGAACTAAAATAAGCTTCGCGCTCCTCGGGAGCTCTATACTTTGCATAATGGGGTGCAAATCGCTGCGCAAAGTTCAAATTGTCGACAACTCTAAAAGCGCAATTGTAGAGGTAGGACAGCTAAGATAAATTAACATTATGACTATGCATTTAATGCTGATATATGACGTCATTGATAATGATACAATGCTGATATATATGCATTTTTAAAACGCTGGTGCACTGATCGTAATTAAACGAAGGGCCCCTTTTGTAATTTACTCTTTTTTCTTAAAAATTACATACTGACAAATTTTGGTGACACGGGCAACATCTGATTGGCCATTTTAAAGACATATGATTGCCTTGATTCCCAACCATCTGACTCTTTACTTCCATTCGCGTATTTATTCGCCAAATTTATGAAACTCCAATGGTTTATTGACTGAATGAAAGTAACATTCGCCCGGAAGATACATATCGACGGAAAATAAAACTAAGTCCCAAGACGACTGGCTAACGTCTAAACAGAGCTTTACATGCTTTTAACCGTCTCTACCAAGCCAGTACTTTCGGTGGTCTTTCTAACATCGGGTCGACAAAAACGTTACTGCTTTCGGCTTCGGTCAAAACACTCAAATTAACTTAATTACATGCAGAAATAGTGAGCTCATGGCTGGGTCTCAGTATCCCCAGACCACGAGGTCACTCCTAAAAACAGGGCTACGACTATTTATTGAATTAATATTGTTTTTGTTCAGTAGATAAAAATCATCATCTCCATCGAAGATGGATCAACCCTCTCCCCCAACTCCTAGCTTCTCATCTTAGCAGAACGAATTCAGATGTTAATTAAATTCAATTCAGGACATAATAGGGAAGCTAAAAGTTTATATAAGTTAATAAAAGTTCCAGCCCGAGACCCCTCCGGATTCCTAATTCCGGGGAAATAAGGCTCTTATTCTCCTTCCGGAAGGCTGGTTTTCCACCCTTCACTGTTGTTCGCAACGGCCTTGCAGCTATTGTAGCGACACAATAGTTGCAACTCGGAACGGTCTCTGCTACTTCTGCAATTCGTCGTTGTTTTTCAAGCACAATTCTCGTTGTTCACGCTATCGCAACTAATGTTGTTGTGTTTTTCTTCCGGTTTTCTGCCAAAATGACCGTTTCTGACGTTTCTCAGAAATATGACGTCATACTTCGAATTTTCAAAATTTTAAAACACCAGAATATCTTGACCTTCACCGTTTGACTAATCGTCCCAATAACGTCGTTAATCGCTTAAAACCGTCAATTCGGAAGGTTCGCTGTTAAAAACTCGAATATGCTGAATGTGCGTTTTGGTCCATTCTGGTCGAATGTCACAGAAATAATAAAGGACTAGTGAAATAAGGGAGTTTTTGAGAAAAAGTAAATTTCTAACAATTTCGCAACTATGTGCATGGTCAAGTATTAGTGGCATTCTTAATAACATTTTTCTTATATGCCAAAGCTGTATAGATCGAAAGAAAAAAGATTCCTTGTTAAAACATATCGCAAACTTCAGAGAGAACACTGAAGAAAAAGGACTAAAACAGGAAGTTGAAGAAATGAGAACCGAAATCAAAGATAACAATTTATCGATAATTACCTAAATAAAAAAATGAAAAAGAAAATGGATGAAAATTGGCTACTCCCGCCCTCCTTCCGTACCAAAACCCACAAATAAGCAAATGCATCAAACCAAAAAACCGACAAATCAACAAAACTTTGACGGAATAAGGTTAAAGTTTCGATGCAACCCCGCACTAAAAACAAACAATAGCCGTTAAAGATACTACCATCATCTCAAGCAAGTGAAATATGTCACGAAACAATTGAGAGTAACTTGCAATTTCACTGATTTAAAACGACTACAAAATTTTATTGAAGGGAAAGATCTCACCCTAATTGTCAAGATTGACGGTGACTATGCAAAACAGCTAATACTCATGTTACTTACCAAAATGAAAGACTACAAAACACCCGTTTTCCGAAGTAAAAAATTAAATCCAGAGGATCAAGCTGTTGAAAAGACACCTCCTGCAAAAGCGCAGAGAAATGATAACCAATAGTATCAAAGCAAGTGAAATAAGAATATGTAACCTCAAATTGCTGCAGCAGAAGGACACTCAAACTTTGTTAATTGTTTAGCAATAGAAAATAACTGGGACATCCTTTGTTTAATAGAGACATGGCTATCCAATGAAATACTTGAAGAGAGCCTTTTCCTAAATGACTACACGATTCTGACAAATGATAGAACTACTGAAAATTGCAAATTGAAACATGGAGAAGTGCTCATAGCCATCAAAAGCATGCCTCACGAACGAATTTTTACTGAAACAAAAAAATGAAAATGTTGCAATCAAAGTTAAATCATAAGATGACTCAGCATTAATATGTTGTTTGTATATTCCCTACAGGAATTGTGACCTAATCTTCTACTGTATCCCTGATAGAAGAAATTATGACATATGCGAAAAAAAAGAAAATTGTAAATTAGTCATACTCACGAGAGATATGAATTTCGAGTGCTTTAATCATGACATTATACTCGCAGAATGATTATAAAAACAATTTTCTTGAGTGCTTATCGGAATTAAATTTTCATGAGTCCCTAAAACAAAAAGAGAACAACCAGTTAGATGTGTTGTTAACAAACTATATAAACATAATCGTCAACCGATCTTGTGGCAACGAATTTATTAAAAGCTCCAACACGGACCAGGAAGCCTTTGTTGTTGCACTGCAACAAGAAACAGAAATTAAGCACAAAAGCAAACAGGAAAAGTTTGCTTTTAACAAGGTAGACTTGAAAATCTCAAACTACTACATAGAAGAGCACCCTTTTGATCCTGTAACAGTCGCCTACTCAAGTCACATATGAGGCTATAGAAAAATAGGCCCTATAACCATTGGCTCAAGAGTCAGGAACACTATCTCTTGTGTTTTTCTACCTCGAATTGTCGGAGCCAATTCGGTTCACTTGCCACATGAGACTCAAACCATTGTTACAGCTTAAAGATCACTACCAAAATACCCCCCCCCCCCACCCTAGAAAATAAGAAAGCCTCCATACTTAGATCTCAAAATACCCAAAACACGCGAACGCCGTTAAAAACAGGGTCCGAACAATCCGTATAGTTACTTTTCATTAGACAGTGGAACTTTGATCCATTTCAGATAGATCAACCTAAAACTCGCCTTATCTCAACATGACAATCATAAACACACTCAAGAAAAACAAATTGGGTACTCACATACAGGCACACTCTAAAATTTGGGTAAATAAATCAATAAAAAACTCCAGAATGACCAAGGAATTAAGTTTTGACTCGAGGAGTTTCAAATTAACAAGTCCCAGCTTGAGAATCGAGTTTTAACTTGAGATATAAGTTTTTGTCGCTGGACCATTGAGAAACTTCAGTTGTCTACCTTTCACCCTGGTCCACTTCCAATTTGCTTTTTTATTGTTCGTAATCACTCTGCCTTCTGTTTCGAACAAGACAGCTCTACTCTGGTATATTTCTATGTCTGAAAATTGCGAATAGCAATTTCCCTCTGCTTTTTTGACCACTTTCCCACGATTGTAAATCGGTTCTTCCAATTTTTGTATTTTCTCGTTTTCAGTTGTCGCGAGAAACTTGAACATGACATGTCCAATTCGAATTTTTGAAAAATTTCATCTCAACCCAAAGTTACGTTTCTTGTGTTGCTGAAGGTCAAACTTCCAAACATGACCGACTGGCACATCCCTATTGCTATAGTAGCATTGATGAACTAGCAAAATAATGATACGAATGGCTTGATCGAATGTTAACCGAAAAGGTTCCCTAAACAACCAAAACAACCACACACAGATCGAATCTCCCTCCATGGGTTGAAAAGAATTCTCACTCCTCTTCGAAATCATATCAACTTTTAAACGGAAAATGTCGAAGAAATCTTCTCTCAAAAGAATTATCAAACTTAGGAAAAGGAGAAGAGACTGAAAATGACGCTAAACGAAGATCAAGCAGAGTTTGATAGTAAAATTTTTCGAGGTCAATGATTCTCTGATCTTCAAAAGTGTCTCAAATTGATGCACAAAAGCAGCAAGTACCCCGTGACTACGACTTACAGAAATCAGAAAACACATGAGGACGAGCAAAAGTGTCAACTTTTTAGTGAATTTTTTCCAATGTGTTCCTTAAAAGTAGTCAAATAACGATAAATTGTTACGATAGACAAAAATTCAATAAAATCGAGATCAATGAATTAAATATAACAAAAATTGGTACAAAGCTACAAACTTATAAGGCATGTGGCCCAAACCGGATAGGAAACACATTGCTCAAAAATCTACCATCTTTGTCCAAGTCATTATTATCGATTTAAAAAAATGCCCTAAATAAAGGCTTCTGTCCATCCTATTCGAAAATAAGTGAAACAATACCAATACTTGAGGACCAGAATAAAGCAATGATTGAACAGTATCGATCCATGATTCTTTTATGCAGCATATCAAAAAGCCTGGAAAAACTTATTTTGATGAGCTGTATGACATTGTAAAAAAGCAACTAGACCAATCGCAACACGGATTTAGAAGACATCGGTCAGTTGTTATTCAACTACCTTTGTTTTTAGACATTCTATACAAAAGAATACGATGAAAAGGAAAATTAACTTTATGTGTTATGTCTTGACTTCAAAAAAAACTTTTGATAGTGTTGCACACAATTTGCTGCTCCAAAAAACTGAAAAACTAGACAATGGAGGTAATTTTCCTACAATAGTTGCTAGTTACTTAGCTGATC